AATATTCATCAGAGATAAAAGCGCTTAAGGCCCGACAAAATGAATAGCCTTAAAAATACGAAAAAATTTCCAAGCATCCAAGATTTTAATAATTTAAAAAGATTTTCTCAAGCCCATTTCAATCCCTAATAATTTTGAAAACCAAACAAATATTAATTTTAGAAATATTTTTTAAGCCCAGTCCAACCCATAATAATTTTGGAAAAACCTTCCCAAGCCTAGAGATATTGAATTTATAATTAATGAAGGGGAAATCTCTGATTTACCAATTAGTCTACAAGAAAAATATATTTCTTTATAAAAATATTAACATAAGACTAACATTTAACATTAAAAAATCTCAATATAGGTTCAAGCCCACAATATTTGGAAAAAATTTCCAAGTATCCAAGATCTTAATAATTTCAAAAAAATTTCTCAAGTCCAGCTCAATTCCTAATAATTTTGAAAACCAAGCCAATATAAATATGAGATATATTTTTTAAGCCCAGTCCAACCCATAATAATTTTGAAAAAATTTTCCCAAGTCCAGAGATATTAAATTTATAATTAATGAAGGGGAAATCTCTTATCCAATTAGTCTACAGGTAAAAGATATTTCTTTATAAAAATATTAACATAAGACTAACATTTAACATTAAAAAATCCCAATATAGGTTCAAGCCTGCAATATTTGGAAAAAATTTCCAAGCATTCAAGATCTTAATAATTTAAAAAGATTTTCTCAAGCCCACCTCAATCCCTAATAATCTTGAAAACCAAGCCAATATTAATTTTGAGAAATATTTTTTAAGCCCAGTCTAACCCATAATAATTTTGAAACAAGCCCAGAGATATTAAATTTATAATTAATGAAGGGGAAATCTCTGATTTATTAATTAGTCTACGGGTAAAATATATTTCTTTATAAAAATATTAACTTAAGACCAGGTATCCAAACCGAAACGAATATCGGTTTGGTTCGGGTTCAGGTTCGGATAAAAATAACGATTCAAAGTTCACGTTCGGTTCGTAAAAAAATAAAATATCGGTTCGGTTCGAACCTCTAACCGGTTTGAACACTTTTGTATTCAAACCTACATTCGAATTATGTATGGAAAATATTTTTTTATTTTATCATTAATTTAAAAAACACATGTATATAACCTTCATATTAATTGCACATTATAAATAAAATTTAATTTATAAATATAAATATAAATATATATATATATATATCATTGATTAATTTTAATATGAACAATATTTTACTTTTTTTTTACTTAATTTTTTTTTATTAAGCCGCACAATTAATATATTTTCAAAATTCGTCTAACTCAAATTACATCTATAGTATAAATTTAATTGTTGAAACATCTTTCTTGGGTAGCCGGCACTGCCAATATGATATCAGATTTGATGTGTCATTTATAATAATATTTTGGATTTAATTTTTCTTTAAGCATTATAATTTATAAGCTTAAAATATTTGAAAAATGTTGTAAAATGACAATATACTAAAGTTTATAAAAATTATGACCGATACTTATCAATCAAATGTGATTGATGATAATCTTTAAAATTATTCGAATATAATTGAAATCTAATAATAACTTATATATTATTTTATAAGCATAAAATCATGAGACTCGAACGGGTTCAGAGGCATTTTAGCGGTTCGGTTCAGGTTCGGCTGGATTTTTTTAGCGGTTTAGGTTCGGTTCAGGTTCGATAAAAGATACATGTTTTTAGCGGTTTAACGGTTCGGTTCAATTTCGGTTTGGATCCCTGCTTAAGACTAACATTTAACATTAAATCCCAATATAGGTTCAAGCCTACAATATTTGGAAAAAAATTTCCAAGCATCCAAGATTTTAAAAATTTAAAAAGATTTTCTCAAGCACATTTCTATCCCTAATAATTTTTGAAAACCAAGGCAATATTAATTTTGAGAAATATTTTTTAAGCCCAGTCCAACCCATAATAATTTTGAAAAAATTTCCCAAGCCTAGAGATATTAAATTTAAATGAATGAGAAATCTCTGATTTACCAATTAATCTATGAGTAAACTCCTAGTTGAATTTCTATATAAAATATTAAAAATTTGTAATATTTAGTAAATAATGTATTACTTTGACAATTGGTTTTAATATGGCCTCCTACAGTTGCATAGAAAACTTAAGTTATAGAATCATCTGTTTGTATAAAATAAATAAATAAAATCAACAAATAAAAATACGTACCGATGACATGACGTAACGATGACATGACGTAGCGATGACATGACGTAGCGATGACATGACGTAGCGATGACATGACGATAGCTCGATGACATGACGTAGCCATGACATGACGTCACGATGACGTAGTGAGGACATCGGAAAATTATAATATAGATTGATTGGGATTTTTAATGTTAAATGTTAGTCTTATGTTAATATACATTAAATATATCTATTTACAAAATATTACAAATTATTAATATTTTATATAGAAATTCAATTTAACAGATGATCCTATAACTTAAGGTTTCTATGCAACTGTAGGAGGCCATATTAAAACCAATTGTCAAAGTAATACATTATTTACTAAATAGTAGTTATCTCCAATAATAGAGGTAATATTTTTAATTTCTTATAATAATATTAGGGCAGACGTTATTTTGTCATGATTCTCTAATAGGTGGTTTGCCCAGGCTTCCTCAGTTTCCCTAATTACGAATTCACATGTTTTTTTTGCATATATAACTAGGAGTTAACTCATAGATTAATTGGTATATCAAAGATTTCTCATTCATTTATTATAAATTTAATATCTCTGGGCTTGGGAAATCTTTTTCAAAATTATTATGGGTTGGACTTGGGCTTAAAAAAAATTTCTCAAAATTAATATTGGTTTGGTTTTCGATTGAGGTGGGCTTAAGAAATTCTTTTTAAATTATTAAGATCTTGGATGCTTGGAAATTTTTTCCAAATTTTGTAGGCTTGAACCTATATTGGGATTTTTTAATGTTAAATGTTAGTCTTATGTTAATATTTTTATAAAGAAATATATTTTACCTGTAGACTAATTGGTAAATCAGGGATTTCCCCTTCATTAATTATAAATTTAACATCTCTGAGGTGGGCTTGAGAAATTCTTTTTAAATTATTAAGATCTTGGATACTTAGAAATTTTTTCCAAATATTGTAGGCTTGAACCTATATTGTGATTTTTTAATGTTAAATGTTAGTCTTATGTTAATATTTTTATAAAGAAATATATTTTACCTGTAGACTAATTGGTAAATCAGTGATTTCCCCTTCATTAATGATAAATTAATATCTCTGGGCTTGGGAAAATTTTTTCGAAATTATTATGGGTTGGACTGGGCTTAAAAAATATATCTCATATTTATATTGGCTTGGTTTTCAAAAATATTAGGAATTGAGCTTAGCTTAAGAAATTTTTTTAAAATTATTAATATCTTGGATGCTTGGAAATTTTTTCCAAAACAACCATTGTGGTATATCGTGAGGTTATATCCGATTAATCCCGGTTTATACGAATAAGAGCGAACATTACTTAGTATGATATTATTTTATAATTTAAACAATTTTATATTTTTTAAGCATCCTACGTATTTTTAAAGATATCCATTTTGTCGGCCGCACAATATGCCCTTTTATCTCTGATGAATATTTTGTCTAACTGAAAATTATACAAAGTACATTTTTAATATTTAACTAAATTAATATAACAATTTTTAAGGATCCTACTTTTTTAAAAGCTTACCAATTTGTCGGATCCACCATTGCTCTATTATTTTGTATAATGCTCAAAAAAATATACATTATTTTTTTTATTAATAATTTTATATCTATTCTAAAAAATCAAAATATGTTACAATATTTATTTTTATTCAATTAAAATTATATATTTATTCTTAAGGTTCCTACCTTTTTTAACAATATTCCTTTTTATTCTTTCAATAAAAAATACTAAACAGGGTTTTTTATTTTTAGGATTTTATATTTATTCCAAAAAAAATACATATTACGGTATTTATATATTATTTAAATTATTCTATACTTATTCACAAGGATCCTATTTTTTTTAAGTTTGCCATTTGGTCTCTCCGAATGGTATTTTACTTTATTCCTACCTTATAAAATTAACTAGAGAATTATTTATAATTATATGCTTCCTAATACTGTGAGCTTGGACCTGGCATGACATCTATCGTAAATAAATGAATAAAAATCTCATTCCCCGTCATTTTTGACGTGCTTTTTACTAGTTTTAATAATTAACCAATTTTTTTAAAAACTAATATAACATTTTATGAATTATTTTGAAGAGATAAACATGTTTATATATATATTTTTAATTAATGCATGGGGATTTATATCTAGTCAAAAAAAATTTTATTTGGATATTATTATAATTTGTCAATTTTTTTTCATAACTATTATTTATGTTTTCTTAATTATCTTGAAGAGCTAAACATAATACTATATTTTTTATTAAATTAATGCAGATTCATAATGTAGTCAAAAAAGTTTTTTTGGTCAATTTACTAAATTTCTGAAAAAAAAAATTATTTTATGAATCATCTTGATCTCGAAAAGCTAAACATTCTGTATTTTTTTCAAATTAGCACATAAATTAGTATGAGATTCCTAGTTTAGACATAAAAAAAAATTGATATTTTTTGAATCATTTTGAATAGCTAAACATGATTCTAATTATTTTTTAAAAATATCACATAAATAGAAAGGAATCATGCTTTAATAAGTTTTTCTAAAAATAAAAATTTTCCAAATTATCTTGAAGAGCTAAATGTGATATATATATTTTATATAAAAATTAGCACAGAATATGAAGATTCTATTTTAGTCATGCCTATATATGCTTGATTCGTTTTTATAATCAACTTACTAATTGCTTTTATAATTATGTATCTTCAAATATTGGTTATTCTTAATAATTCTTTAAATAAAATTATTTTTATATGATTTGCATTTATAAAAAACTCCATTTTATACAATTATATATATATATATATATTAGTTTAAAAAGTATTCTAAATAATATGTTTATCGAATACTAATTCTTTCTGTGAAAACCGCTCGAACTTAAAACAATTTAAATCGAGAGTAACATAATCATCATGAAATATATGCTCAGCAATAGCTCTTCCAGCAGCTGGACTATGTTGTAAACCATGTCCACTAAATCCATTGATCATATAAACATTTGTATGATATGGGTGAGGACCTATTATGGCATTTTGATCGACAAAATTATAATCATAAAAGCCACACCAGTATTTGACTACTTTAAGATTTTTAAAACAAGGTATTCTTTGTGTTAATATTGGTCTAATGTTAGTTTCGAAATAAGTTCCAGCATCATTTGTTATCTCTGAAAATTCTTCTGATTGTGGTGAAAGCAAGACTAAATAATTCCCATGTAAATCGTGTCTTCTAAGTGCTAAACCAGATTTATCTATTAAAAATGGGCAATCAAGTATAGGCCCTTCAGGACAATTAATAACATATACATAACGTTGCCTGGGTTCAACAGGAAGTGGGATTTCTCTTCCAATCTCACCGGACCCAATGTCTAACATTTGAGCAACATCAGCCGCATTAATGCCAGAAGCATTTATCAATTTAGAAAATAGAATTTTCTTACGTTGGATGGTTCCATCTCCCCATTTAACATTTAATATAGCTTTATTAGGCCTCTTAAATTCAAGGAGTTGATGAGTTATAGGATCATAGTAAGTACCTAATGTTTTGCTTTCAAATCCAAGTAACTGGCCATGAATATGTTTAACACCATGAAAAACACCATATGTTTTAAAATTCATCATTAATTCCCATGCATCAAACCAGCCTTCATTATATAGCCCATAAGAAGCAAGCTCTATCCCTTCAATATTTAGCCATGGAAATTTGAGCTTAAGATTAGCTGGGGATAAAAGTTTGGTATGACATCCATATTCTCGTTGCATCAAATAATTTGAATGAAGTTGGTCTACTCCTTCACTAGAAGCTAGCATCAAGTATCCTTGAGGATTATAACTGATTTTTGGAGGTTCAATGTTTGATAATGGTAACCTAAAATAAGATGCATAATTCCTGATAAAATGAGCTCCAAAAAGTGACATTTTAATATTTTCTTCCAATGAATATTGTTGCCGTATACCACCCATTGATAATAAAGAGGTTGAAGAGCTATAATCTATATCTTTTTCTACAATGACTACACTAATATCCTGTCTTGCAAAGTATTTAAGCCAATATGATGCTGACAAACCCATGACTCCACTTCCAATAATGAGTATATCTGTCTCAAATGGGAATTCATAATCATTTTTATAAATATGAGGAAGAACTGTATCGTGTGAAATTATTTTATTATTTTGAGCAGTAATAATATTATGTATTGATTTAATTAAAGATTTAAAACCATCAGCTTCATATTTTAAAGCACGTTTAATCTTAACCATTGGTTCATCATCAGGTGGATATTCACTATAATTTTTTTTAAACAATAAATTTGTGATGCAATATAATTTTTTCTTAAATGAGTTCCTGTATAAGGAACTTTTATTATTAATACCAAGCATTCAATTCAAAAAAAATGCATCTTTTCAAATTTATTTGAAAATAGACGAAAATTTGAGTGACATTTAATCACTAACAGCATGTAAACATATGTTATTTTGTATTAATATAATTTATTTGTAATCTATATCAAAAGATAAAATTAAGGCTATAATTTGGAACATAATTAAATATAAAATTAAAATTGACCTGAAGAATTTATCCCAATTTATTTCATTTCAATTATTTGAAAATTTACGCCTACAGATTATATTATAAATATTAATAATAAATTACTATTTCTTAATTAAAATTTTAAAAATTAAATTTAAGAAAGAAATAAAATCTATACCTTATAATAATCAAATTATTATAATAAAATAATTAAAATCTTTTTTTAAATTAACATTTTCAATTTTTCTATTCATTTAAATATCCTCGCAACTGTTAGTTAAATTTTTACAATTTATATTTTATTAAGATAAACTTTATTTTATTATTCAAATTAACATTAATTCTTTTAATGTATAATAATGTGTATATATATATATATATATATATATACTTATTTTTACAATATAATAATGTGTATAATATACTTGAATTTTGGTTCAGAAAATTATATGCAACATTTAAATAAATTTTAATTTAATAGAAGATATAATCTAGAATCCCTGCTATAAAATATCAAAGATGTTAAAAAGTTTGTTAATTAATAGTAAGTAAAATATTTAAACTTAAACCCTTGTAACATACACTATTTTCAAAGCTAAATATCTTTTAAAGAAAGTTAATTAATAGTAAGTAAAAGATTTAAACTTAAACCCTTGAAACATACACTATTTTCAAAGCTAAATATCTTTATTCAATTTATATAAAAAAATTGGTTGCAAAAAAATGAATCCCATAAAACAAATTAATTATATCAAAAAATTAATTTACATAATCCAGAAAAATTATTTTCATAAAAAAATTAATGATAATCTATTATCATATATAAAATAATTACATATTCTTTAAATATAAAAATAATGACGATCTTTTATCAATAAAAACAAAACTCAAAACGAAAAAATATATCTTGTTTTGTTAATCGAAGAAAAAACGTTCCCATAATTTATATCATAAAACACATAAATGATTTTTTTAACAAAATAAAATAAAAATGATTTTTTTGATTGACATTTTAATTATTAAATTAAATATCAACAATAACTATTACAAACTAGACACCTGCCCATCTATTAAATATAATAATCGAATCAATTATATAATGAAAATTATAATTACGCAAAACAAAGACTATTATAATTAAAATTTATAATTAATATACAGTATTTATAATAAAGAATTTATAAATAAAGATTTTAAACATAAATTGGATAATTTAATAATTTTTACCTAATATGTTTTATATATTATAAACATGACATGAATGTATAACAAATATTTTCTCACCTCTTAATTTTTTTTTAATTTTCTTAATATTTTATATTCATTTATTTGTATTCCAGGCAAAGAAAGAAAGAATATGAAGTGTATCTCTGACTGTAGCTTTGATACTTTTGGAATATTAAAAATGAAAGGAAAAAGAAATATATATCTGAAAATAATGAACAAAAAATGACTTATTTCTCGGAAAATTTTCGAAATTAATTATGGTTTAAAAATTTTATAATTGGCATATTGACATTAATTAGATTCGAATAAAATATTCATTATCAAGATAAGATCAAGCCTTATAAAACATATTTTATTACTATGATAATTAATTTTGAGATAAAAAAATCGAATATTCTAATAAATATGATGGGCGAATTAACAATGATATTAATTCTATGGATATTACAAATTATATATGTATGATTAAAGAAAAAGATCCTATTGAAAAGTAAAGACCGGAGAAACATCTCTCATCATTATTGAAATTAATTGCCCCTGGGAATGGGTACGAAACAGCTGCTTCTTAAAATTTGAAAAGGGGTACTTTAAAAAATTTTTTTAGAAAATATTGTACACTTATGATAATGTAGGGTACTTTTTATTTTTTTTCAGAAATTTTTATAAAATATTATCAAATTTTATATACAAAAAATTGAAGAAGAAAATAATAAAACAAAATGGATTAAATTCAAAGCTATATTCTAATCTTTTATCTTATAATATTATAAATATCATGAAAAATATGGTTATAAGAAATTTCAAGAATATTTTGAATCTAACATATGCTTTTTAATTCAGTTTATGGAAAATATAATATTTTAAAATCAGAGGCAAATAGCTGCAACGCCAAAGCCTATAGGATTAATAAATATATTGAACGGGTTGTTATATTTTATATATTTTAAAAGGTTATAATATTCAACGTTATTTGGATTATACATTTGTCATACAATAATGTAACGTATTTATAAAATGTCAGTTAAATTGAATACTTATAGAATTTAAATTGAATAATTAGAGAATAGTATATATATAAATATATACAAGAATTAAAAATAAAAAACTATTGACCATATATTTTATGAAGTTTCTTAAAAATATAAAATTGGCGATAAAATAAAAAAAAACGTGGTCTTCTGTCAAGTTAAATATTAAATAAAATTGTATATTTACTTTTTTTTTAAAAAAAATAATATATATTTTTAGAAATTATGGGTGATATTGCAAAAAGTACATTAAACGAATTTCATAAAGAGGAAACTTCTTTAGATGATTATTTGGAATATATTAAATATATTTTGAATATAAAGAATATTCCTCAAACCGACGGAACTTTGAATAAATTATTCATAGCATATGAAGGAATAAATATAATAACAGATATAAAAAAATTACTATTTTCAAGGAAAATTGATGATGTGGTATGGGAAGATTTATATAAAATCGCAAAACAACTTTTTAAAGACGAAAGAAATATCTTGGCATCAAGAATTGATTTTATTGGAGTAAGTCGCGAACCAACAGAATCAGTATTGAGTTATTTAAAAAATATAAAGGAACTAGCTAGTAAGTGTTAATTTTTGAAGATAATATAGAACTACGAATTTGTGATCGATTAAGCTGGATTAAAGATGTCGCAACTGGATAAAGAACTACGTTTAAGATACCCAGACACTAAAGACGAAGAGCAAGCGTTAAGCTTAAACAAGTTTACAGAAATGGCTTTAAGAACTAAATAATATAAAATTAGCTTATAAAATCAAAGATACTATTAAACATAATGATAATAATAAACGATTAAATCAAAATGATAATAATAATCAACAGTATAATCGGCAGTATCAAAATGATAATAAAACATGCGTAAAAAAACCAGTTCAAAGTTATAATAACTACCACACAAATAATAATAATGCAAGAAAACCGTGCTATTTCTATAATCGTTTTCATGCTATTCGGAAGTCCCGCATACGGAAAAAAGTGCAGTAAATGTATTAAATTAAACCACTTTGCCGTTTATTGTAAAACTGGAGGAAATGTTTATGGTACAAATTACAATTATAACGACGAAGATTCAGATTTCTCACAAATATGGACAGCACCCAACAATTATGGTATTATTAAATAACCATGAAATTAAGATGAAATATGATACAGGTTCACATCATTAATGCAACAATATGGAATAATATTGGGAGGCAAAAACTGAGAATGATTAGAGCTCCAACTACATATAAACAATAATTAAAAATTATGGGAGAAGCTTATGTAAAAGTTCAATTATGATAAAATAAAATGGCTTTATTAGTTACAAAAACAAATGATGCAGCTCTATTTAGATGTCCATGGACTATAGAATTTGATCTATCGTTACCAACAAAGGTAAAAGTCAATATGATCAGCAATAAATATAATAATAATAATAACGGAAACGTGAATATTGAAAAACTATATAATTTGCTACTGTGTTTGATATTAAATTGTGATTAATATAAAATACCAGTAAAACTACAATTAGAAGAAAATACAAAACATAGCTCCACCAGCAAGAAGAGTACCGTTGCCTTTAGAAATAGAATTGAAAATGAACTGAAACGTTTGGAAGAAAACAACAATAAAGAAAATAGATCTATCAACAACAAGAGTAACCTGGAGTACTCCAATGGTAGTAATCGTAAAACTTCAGGTGAACTACGATTATGTGGTGATTTCAAAGTAACATTGAATAAATTTTTACTAAAAGACTAACACATTCTACAAACGTTTTAAGAATTAATCGTAAAGATCGCTAAAGGAAATAAGTATACAACATTAGATCTAAAAGGCGCATATCTACAAATGAGTATTGACAAAGAGTCCAAGAATTATTAACTATGGTAACACCAAATGGATACTACCGCTATTTACGATTACATTTTTGTATAGCTATAGAAACGATAATATTTCAATGATATATGGACGATTTACTGGCTGACTGTAAAGATACAGTAGATTATTTAGACGATGTTATAATCATAGGAAAAAATGATACACAGCATGTAGAAAATATAAAACAAGTCCTCAAAAAATTACAAAATGCGGGATTAAAATTCAAAATAAATTTTATGAAAGAAAAAGTATCATATTTATTATACATAATAGATGAAAATGGAATACATCCAGATAAAAGTAAAATAATACAAAAATCTGCAACTCAATGATAGACATGATATAAAATCATTTTTAGACTTACATAGAATTATAGCCGAATATAATAAAACTAGAAAAAAATGTTAAATGGAATTGAACTAAAAATTATGTTACATTACTTGAAAGAGCAAAAGGAATAGTAACAGAAAAAAATAATATACCGTTTTATAAACCGGACCTCGGGTTAATATTAACAGGTGCATCCAGCCAAGGATTTGGAGCTGTACTCCTGCAAAAATATAATAACGGAGACGAATTTCCAATAGCGTACATCTCAAGAACTTTACAAGAGGCTGAAAAGAATTATTCTACAATAGATAAAGAAGCTAAAGCAACAATAAACGGCGTAGAAAAATTTCACAACTATTTGGGTGGACGTAAGTTTATAATATGAACGAACCATAAACCTCTAATAAAGATATATGGCAATAACAGAGATTTAAGTTTATTATCAAATCAAATATTTTTACGTTGGGCCTATAAATAATCCGCATATGATTATGATATTATGTACAAGAAAGGTTCTAATATAATTCCTTATTTTGCTTATAACTCATTAGCCTTTAATTCCGATGACGTCTGGTTAGATCAATTAAGACTAAATATTGGCATAGGTTTTATTAATTGATCCTCACATCGTTCCGCCAACTTCACTGATCTTAATTGCAGATGCTTTATCGCGAAATCCAATAGAGAAAAATGATGATAGACGAATATAAAGAGATCGCCAAAAAACATCTTTTTAAAACTTGGAATTTGATACAAAATTTAAATAATCAGAATATTGAAGTTCTAGATAAATAAGAATAATTCTTGGGGTGAAAATTATAATAATTATTTGATAATATAGAGAGATTAGAAAAAGATAATAATCTTTTGAATTAATTGAAAATGTAAAAAATGGTATGCCAGAACTTTATAAATTAGATATAATAGTGCTAACAGTTCCAGATACGCAGATATCCGTAGAAAGAGCATTTTCTAGCCTTAAGTTTATACTCTCTTGACAGAGGACTAAATTAAATAATGAAATATTTTAATTATCCGTTCTAATTCACTTTTTAAACATAAATAGTATAAATTTCATTAATATTATGCGTTATTTTATTCCTTGTATTTGCGCATGTTTGTTTTTACCTTTATTTATAAAATAAAAAAAATTAATTTGTCTAATTTATATTTACTAAGTTTAATAAAACTATCTAATAGATTATCATGGTTAAATGAGAAATTATAAAACTACAAATTAGAAAGATTTTTCTCTAAGATTAATATATATGGTTTAGGAATAATTGTTTTTTAAAATCAAATGTATAAAAACCGGAAAAACCGAAAAGAATCGTTATAAATTATAAACCGAACTGATATAAATTTTTTCAAAAAAAACCGAAATGAAACAAAACTTTTATAAAATTTTAAACTAAAAACCGAAGCGAACCGAACCGCTATACTTAACGGTTAAAAATCCTGTATAAAATAAACAAGGAAATTAATGTAAACATAAACTTTTTTAGAATAAAATAATATTATTAGCAAAAATCTAACTTATAATGAAAAGTTTCAATCTTAAAACTTTTTAAAAACTATCATTTCTATTTATAAAATAATTAGTGAACTCTTAATATTATATTAAAAATATACTTATATATATACTCAATCCTGATAATAGATTCAGAAAAATTTTCAATGTACAAAATATAAATCATATTTTAGTAATTAAACAAAGTAGAGTAACACATTGTATAAGAATTATATAATTTTCTGGCGATAGTATTTTTTTAAAATAAAAATAAAGCAATGACAAATAAATATAAAGATTCTTTATAATAAATTGATATATTTTTTTTGTATTGATGATATAAAAGTATGCATTAACTAGAATGATATTTCTTTGATTGAATCTAAAAAAAAAATTAAAATCAAATCATTACATATACATATTTACAAAAGTTTAAAAAAATCACTGACAAGAAATCAGATGGGATACGATATGTATTGGGTTTTAAAAATAATACTTTCTAATAAATTTATAATTTAAAGATAATTTTAATAATTAAAACTAAATCATCTATGAGAAAGAAATTATATAATTTTAAAAAAATTATCATTCATAAATAAGAAAAATTCTTAAAAAGTTACATAGTTAAACAAAGTATAAAATGTAATTGACGTTTCGAATGGTGCTAATTTTTCTGCTAAGGAATAATTTATACAATGTAATCATTTATAGGAATAATAAAACATAAATTTGTACAAACATACTAAATATATCATTTAATTAATGATAAATATAGGTGCGGATTCACTTTGATTTTAAAACGCTAAAATCACTGTTGGACTTAGAGGAAGGTTTTTTGGTTATAGTGAAGCAATATATTCCCAAATATGAAGATAATTGACTAACCTATATGAAAAAAATCAAACGAGAAATTATATCACATTGTAATAAATATAATTTTACTTAAAATCTTAGTCAAATTTCATCCCTCATCCTATACAATATTATACCTCATTGTTTAAGCAATGCATAATCTTATCAAATGAATTTTTTTAATGATAATTTCATTAATTCTATTAAAATTTCCAAACAGGAAGAGACAGGTAAACATTAATCAATTCTATGATTATGTAATATTTTACAATCCGATATCCGAAATGCAGATGAGTGAGAAACGAGAAGAGAAGCAATATTTTAAGAACCAAAATTTCGGAATAGGGTGTCGTTACCCATTTGAACATGATTATAGCGGCAACTGTTATGATGTAGGGATAAAGCAAGAAGTTGGATTGTTTAGCAGATGTTCCCGACATTTGCGCGATAACTATCTTGCTCTTAAAGGAATTTAAAAAAACAACAATGATTTAATATACTAATAATTCGTTAAAGGGTGCTTATATCACGAGAATTAAATTTTTATTCCTACTGTACATCCTCCTAAAAATGATAATATATCTATCGATAATTTTTTCTAGGCGATCGAATTTATGTTTTAACCTTATTATTAAATATTTGAAATTTATATAAAAAAAAGAAGTTATTAGACTCTAAAAATAAATCAATCTTACAACGATGTTAGAATAAACGGTTCCGAGTAGGAAGAAGAATAGCCTTGGTTCGACTGTAATTATATCGTTGGGAGATAACAAGACCCACGTTAACGAGGCTAAGAAAAGGTATAGGACGGGAACCAGCGGTTTTAAGGCTTGGTATATGTCGAGTCGTCTCTCATTATCCGCGCTATCGTGATAATGTCTAAAATTATAAGTTAATGTGCATAATGATAGAATGATGAGATTTTTTTTTATTATACAAGGTATATTCTAAATCTCTAGCTAAAAATTACTCTAAATAGGTATTAAAATTTTTTTTAGTGATTCAAATTATGGTCAACCTTTAAACATTTAATAAATTATATTCAAGATTATCTATGAAATTTTTTTTGTATTCCATTTTACTGAATCACGAAGAGCTTTAAATAAGGTATAAATATATTTTTTTAGATACAAAGAATTAACAAATGATGGATATTTACTTGTAAATGTGGTATAACGCTACTGGCAGAGTTAATCCGAAAGCACTGACTTGAAAGAGAAGGCGGAGAAGATTGTTTTTATTGATAAATATTTATATTACATATATTTATTTCTCCGATTTCGAGGTTTAAGATGGGCTCTTCGTAGACCCGGTGGAGTTTTTTTTTTAGCAAATTTCAAAAATTTAATCATTTATAGCCCACTTTTTTTTTAAAAAAAAAGGTGAATATCAGACCCTTTTAACCGTGGTTTTATCCAACGGGGTGTAGGTACTCCATACATGCTGAATATGAATGACTTAAGTTTTTTTTAAAATTTGTCTAACTCATACGATCCACACATATATTTTTAAAAACCTGCAAAAATAATCTATCAGAGAGTAATATAAATATTATAAAGAAAAATAATAAATTGTTTTAAAAAAAAAATGCGATTAAGATTACCTCCCATGTTAGTTATACTTTAATTCTAATACTTTTTAGAAAATGGTTAAAATTTTTAAAAAAATCTTTTTTCATTTTTGAATACCTCCCAAAATTCCGAATTCATATAATTTAAAACTAACCATAAACGGCAGTCTCGACAAGGACACCGGGGTTAATTGTCAAATCGAATAAACGAAACGTAAAATGCCAATATTCGTAACCGCGAAAAAAGCTCACCAGAAAAACAAATGAAAGGGCCTTGAATATTTCGATAAAGGTTTGAAAAAGATTTATTCAGATTTATTCAGATTTTTACTAGATCTTTTTTAAATTAATATTTTCTATCTCCAAAATTTCTTATAAAGAATAATAGGTTATTTTTTGATAATTTGGACAAAACAAAATATCGTCGGTCGAATATTATAGTATTCTATAACCACATTTTTTCAAAATTTAACTTTTTGGACAAATCAATTTTTCTATGCTGTATTCTTTCATAAAAAAATGCTGAAATATAATTTAAAATCATCCTTTATTTTGCACTTTTATGGCGTGATCACTTATTTAAAATGCACAAAATATAGGACATTATAGTAGTCAACTGACGATATATATAAACAAATTTTAAAAATTCATCTAATTTCTGGAGGAGCAAGATAGCCAAACGTTAAAAATAATAATAATTTTACTATCTGACTAGCGTCATAAGCCCAGGGCAGGTAAAAGATTCCCGTAATATATTTTTCCCAATGAGCTACTAGGAAAACGAATAAAACTCCCCACATAACAAAAAATACCCGCATGGGTGCCAAGCCGGAGACGGCGCGACCGAATAGAGAATAGCAGCATAGCGGCACGACTATGCTGGCCCAACTGTCTAGTCCATGGTCAAATAGTTCGCCTAAATATTTGTAAAAAAAAATTAAATTGAAAATGAAAAATGAGCAGTGTTTGGTCCTAGATGGCTAATAAAAAATTTTAAAAATATATATTAATAATAAAAAAGCGAAACATAGAACCCTTGAGCATAAGGACCTTAAATTTGGTGTGAGGATGTATTTTCATATTTAATTTGATATCTATGTTCATCTTATAAAAACCTGGTTTGACATATTTTGACAAGAAACCGTTTTTTACCCCAAAATTATAAAATTTACCCTTTAATTAATTTAACTCATAGCAAAATATATCAAGGCTCAGAATTTAAACATTTGTATACATATTTCTTCCTTAAAGCCATAGCTATGAAATAAAATTTATCGGAGGTTCATAGCTTAACTAGAAGTCACGCAATAACGATTTGTACAATAAATATCACCTTGGGGTAAAGTTGTTATGGGTAAAACGGTTAAGCTGTTCCATGTTGTAAAAAGATAATTTATAATATTAACGTCTATACCATATAAAAGATATTTTTGAGCAAAAAGGAACATTAATAAATAGTTTGTGTTATTTGGAATAAAATTTTAAGAATAGTGGCAAAGAATAATTGAAATATACGATGCACCTAAAATGTGCACACTCAAAATGTGTTATTTTTGATATAATTTTCTACATTCCGGTATTGTATTGAATAGTTCATATTAGTGTTGTTATAAACGGTTCGATTTGAGCCGATTTTTTAAAAAGGCTAACTCACCATTTTAGCCAGTAAAATATTGAAGCCTAGAGATTAGATGTCCAAACCTTGTCATCTATGAGCAAGTTATTTAGGCTTACATAAAATTTTTTTGAATAAAACATTGAGTTAGTCGTTTTTAAAAATCGGTTCCAATAGAGCATCCAAAAGCGATGTGTTGTAATATGTTCGTTAAATTTGTACTTTATATTTAATTTGCATAACGAGTTCTTTTGGATTTATTATTATAACGCGTGATAAAAATATTATATTTGAATAGTGATAACTGAAAATAATTTAAGTTATGAATATTATTTATAAAGAAGATTGAAAAGAGTATAAAAACTCCAATTTTTACATTTGAGACGATCTTTTATAATTATTAACTTTTTTGTATTTTATTTTTTTATTTTTATTAATCTTTTTTATTATTTTTACTTTTATAATTTTGTTAATTTGATAATTATTACGTTGTGCCGCTTGAATTAATATTAGAACGAATAATATACTACTTTAAACTTTGTACCGCTTAAATTAATTTAAATTAATTTTAAAACGAATAATATAGAGACTATTTTATTTTGCAAACCAAATTAATAAAATATAATTTTACAACCAAAAAAAATATATATAATTTTACAATTAAAAGAAACCAAAAAAAGTTTAGTTTGTTCCTAACATCAAAGCCTCTAACCTTCAAAACAAAATTATAATCTAAAAATATATTATTTTATAATTTGAAAACTCCATAATCACGCTTATAATCCTAATTTCACGCGAAAAATAAAATCATATAATATAAAAATAACACACCAAAAAATGTTTATTATCATAATGAATCGACGAAATAATTTTTTTTATATTTGCTTTCGTCTATTTTTCCTCGTTTCTCGTGATTGACTCCGTCAATCACGACACCTTCCCCCTTTATTTAACTGGGACGGATCCAACAGCTGTTTATACTCCTCCTTCCCAACTCGTACTACCAATGTGTCCTGTGTCCCTGGTGGATATCGTTTCCGCGTCTCTCGCCCCGATGATACTGCCCGATTATCTGAAGCGACTGGCGATGGCTCCAATTCCTTCCTGGCCGCTCCTCCCATCACTTCCAACCGTTCATTAGGACACCAATGGCGTATGTGGCCCACCTCTCCGCATCCATAACATATGATTCTTTCTCGGTCTTCACGCGCTGGCTCCCTGTAACGCTCCATCGGTCTTCTGACTCCCTTTATTGTTCCCATGTTTTCTTGCGCTAATGCCCTCCACTCGCTGGCCAACGGTTCGATGTCCGCATGATGGTATTCCGCATCAAATGCGTTCCCAGATCTATGTATCTATATCAAATAATCATTTATCTCCTTCCCTTTTTATTATATTTTATTTTTTTTCTCTCTCGCTTTCCCCCTTTCCCTTTCCTCGTCACTCTCCTTGCATATATATATATTTAACGACTTACTTGTTAATAATCGGCATACCGAATAAAATTATATTTTCCTCTACCGAATAAAATTATGAATTTTATGTTTTCTTCTTCTCTTACTTATTAAAAATTTTCCTTTGCTCAACACTCTCTTACTCGTAAATCATTTTCCCTTATATTTCAATACCCAATCTCACTAACTCTATTTTCTTCTGTGGACGTCAGGACATGTCGAGGCCGTTCAACAGTGGGGGACAGAGAGGTCGGAATGGTAGATGTTATAAATGTGGGGAGATGGGTCATATTGCGGTGAATTGTAGAGATGTCAAATGTTTTGCGTGTGGGGAGATGGGACATATTTCGACATATTGTCCGGGCAGAGCAGAAAAGAGAGTGTTGAGAAAAAGGAAAATTTTTAATAAGTAAGAGAAGACGAAAACGTAAAATTCATAATTTTTTTTCGGTAGAGGAAAATATAATTTTATTCGGTATGCCTATTATTAACAAGTAAATCGTTAAATATATAAATATGCAAGGAGAGTGATCAGGAAAAGGGGAAGGAGGAAAAGGGGGAAGCCGGAAAAGAGAAAGGAGGAGGTAAATGTTATTTTTTTTTAGATACATAGATCTGGGAACGCATTTGATGCGGAATACCATCATCAATGCGGACATCGAACCGTTGGCCAGCGAGTGGAGGGCATTAGCGCAAGAAAACATGGGAACAATAGAGGGAGTCAGAAGACCGACGGAGCGTTACAGGGAGCCAGCGCGTGAAGACCGAGAAAGAATCATATGTTATGGGTGCGGAGAGGCGGGCCACATACGCCGGTGGTGTCCTAAAGAACGGTTGGAAGTGATGGGAGGAGCGGCCAGGAAGGAATTGGAGCCGTCGCCAGTCGCTTCAAGTAATCGTGCAGTATCATCGGAGCGAGAGACGCGGGAACGATATCAACCAGGGGCACAGGACACGTTGGTAGTGCGAGTTGGGAAGGAGTATAAGCAGCTGTTGGATCCTTTCAAGTTAAATAAAGGGGGAAGGTGTCGTTGACGACGAGGAAAAATAGACGAAAGCAAATATGAAAAAAATTATTTCGTCGATTCATTATGATAACAAACATTTTTTTTGGTGTGTTATTTTTATATTATATGATTTTATTTTTCGCGTGAAATTAGGATTATAAGCGTGATTATGGAGTTTTCAAATAATAAAATTATATATTTTTAGATTATAATTTTTGTTTTGAAGGTTAGAGGCTTCCCTATAAAAGGGAAGCCGAAATCTTCAAATTCATTATGTTTTTTTTTGGTTTCTTTTAATTGTAAAATTATATATTTTTTTTTGGTTGTAAAATTATATTTTATTAATTTGGTTTGCAAAATAAAATAGTCTCTATATTATTCGTTTTAAAATTAATTTAAGCGGTACAAAGTTTAAAGTAGTATATTATTCGTTCTAATACCGCTTAAAATAATTTAAATTAATTTTAAAACGAATAATATAGAGACTATTTTATTTTGCAAACCAAATTAATAAAATATAATTTTACAACCAAATAAAATATATATAATTTTACAATTAAAAGAAACCAAAAAAAAACATAATGAATTTGAAGATTTCGGTTTCCCTTTTATAGGGAAGCCTCTAACCTTCAAAACAAAATTATAATCTAAAAATATATTATTTTATAATTTGAAAACTCCATAATCACGCTTATAATCCTAATTTCACGCGAAAAATAAAATCATATAATATAAAAATAACACACCAAAAAATGTTTATTATCATAATGAATCGACGAAATAATTTTTTTTATATTTGCTTTCGTCTATTTTTCCTCGTTTCTCGTGATTGACGGAGTCAATCACGACAATAATGTTATAATTTTGAATAAAGGATGAAATTGATTTCATGATTTCGTGATTCTTAATTATTATTAATTTCTTTTTATATATATATATTTGTTTTCTTTTTTTATTTTAGGTCTCAAAAGCCTTACTTTCAACATTCTTTTTATATATATATTTCTTTTATATTTAGGTTCTTGATTCACAATGACAGATCACCTCATTGTGACAGTGGTATTGGAGAGAGGAGGCGACAGGACCATTACAACTTTCAGTCTAATGCCAACCAAACTCCTTACAAAAGAAAGAAATTCAAAACGGAAAAGGGGTAAGAAAAATATGAATTTGACAAGATGATATTTAAAATGTAGGTTGAAAAAGAGAAATTATTTTGATAAGATTAGGTTTATGTAGGAATATAAAATCTAAAATTAAAGACAAAGGTAACATTCATAGTAGATAAGATATAATTGTGTTTAGTTATTTAAAGGTGATAATTAGAAATTTTATATTTAGAAGTTACTGGTAAACTAAAAACCATTGGAGATTTTGAAACTAATAAAGACTATGATATTTTAGATTTTAGAATTATTATTAATTGATCACTAGAAATAATTATGACAAAGAAAAAGAAACATAAATTGCGAAAGTTAATATTAAACTAATAATTTGCTAAGATATAATAATTAAAAATTCGGTGAATAAGATTAGAATATAACTTTATTGTTAGGAAATAGTTGATTAAATTCTTATTGAAGATTTCCGTTTAACTTTTATTTTAAGGGCTGCGAGAGATAAAACAGCCTCAAGGATTAATGTGAATGTAGTATATTAGGTTGTAGATTAACCAAAAATCTTCATAAAGAGAAACGGCTTTCGTCATTAGAAAATTTATGCCGCAATCAAGCTCAATTAGAGATCGGATTTTTATTTTTTTGAATCATAAATAAGATTTGAGATCAATTATGCAACATTATTCTAATAATAACAGAAAGAAAAACATGCTTTAGAAATA